TCTGTAGCTCTAATTCTCAATTATTAGAGCATCGCCTTGGATCGTGTCTCGGTAAAACAATTAAACAGAAAGTTAAATCCTACAGCGTTTGTTTCCAATTAATATCTTTAAGCCCATTGCCATTAATAATCGGAAAACATACTAGATGCAAATAAAATCTTTGAAAGTTGTCCTTTACCTTGCTTATGAACAGTGTAAGTAGATCGGCTCTTAATTTTATTAAAAAATATCTAAACTTAATCGTACTTTGACAAAATAGTGATATTAAATTGACCTCAACTGAATATGAAAGTGAAAATGTGAAATTTTCCCGAAATATTTTGGTTAAAATAATAATCTTTGTAACTTACTGTTTTAATATGTGATCATATCATAAATAGTATGACTGAAAATACCACGATTTTCAAATATGTTTTTAACTAAGTAGGCATGTACTTTCATTAAGCCTACTGGTAAATCAGGAAACATTACACATACGAATTTAGTTTTCAAAAAAAAGAAGAAGAAGATGATGATGATGATGATGAAAATAAAACAGAAAACGGTGACTTAGAAGAGTTGCTTTCAAACAAAAATCAGATCCCCAAGCGCTGAGGGATATGTGTGCAAAATTGTAGCATGTACAGATTTGGCTGCAAGAGCGTGGACGGTACATATAGCCAATTGAAAATATTGAATGTAGTCAATGTATTTTTCGCGTGTCATATGTTTAAGTTGTAACCTCTTAAGTAAGAAACGTTTGTTTTATTCTAGGCTGAATTAACCTGACTGTAATATTGCATATATAATGATTTCTGAGTAAACATAGACATGATTTTATCATCTTTTTGTTTAACGCTTTTCACCCAAAAGTGTCAGACATTAACTTACGATTAAATTACATCTTTCGTCCTAGGAGTGTCATTTTAAGAATAAAAGTCCTGTACGATGTTTACTTTGTTATTATGCGCTTTTATCACACAGAGTGTGGAATGAACAAATGGTTAGAAGGCAGCAAACGACACAGCCATAGTTTAGGTTAAAACGAAGTTAGTTAAAATACCGGAGAGCTAGAGATTCGTGGGATTATTAAAAAAAAACACCTCTACAGAAATAAACTAAAAAAGCAGGACATCTTTTTCAAGTGCAACGCACGCCTAAGCTTCTCACTTTGATACTCTCGAGACTTATAAGGCAGGAAGATAATAATAACAAAACAAATAATTATTAATACAACTTTCTCTACATTAATAGTTTTATTTTATAATTGATAAGATTGAAAAACTATAAGTCTCTCATACTGAACCATGAAAATAAAACTTATATTTATTTAATTTGTTAGAACTTCTCATTCTCTTGTTAAACCCCCTAGTGGTTTGCGGACTTACAATGCTAGAAACTTGGTTTCGATACCATGGTGGGCAGAGCACAGATAGCCTATTGTGTAGCTTTGTGCTTAATTACAAACAAACAAACAATCAACTAAACAAATCTCTTGTTAATTTTTGACTTTCTTTTATTAAAACAAAAACAAATCTGATGCTTATTCACGAGATATTTAAACTTCACTCCGAAAACATATGTATATTGTATAAATGTATAATCTTTTTTTGTTTTTAAATTTTGATGAATATTAACTTTTTGCACGAAATCCAACAAACAATTATTTATATTAAAAAATATGGAATATTTATATAATAATAAAAAAATTAATTATCTTTTAAGATTGGATTTTTATGGAGTTTTACTGATCGTACGTTACATATTCGATTCGAATTACTTCGAAAGCAAAGGCACAATATATATGGCATAATTAACGCTTTTATTATATCCACTTATTTTGCATGTTTCTTAAAGACTTTTACAGGGCTATCTCACTTGAAATTCAAATATATAACAAAAAAGTAATATATGGCCTTTTAGAAATTAGTAGTATATTTTTAAAAAGATTTTATTGATCGCACGTCATATTCCTTTCTATCTGTTCAGAAGACGCCGCAGAAGCGTTTATGTAATAATGAAATATTTACTTTAGAATTAATTATGGGCTATCGTTTTTTTAGGAATTATAATATTCTTTCACAAGCAGTAAAATAATTGCTCGATTTCGCCTTTGCAATTCAAAGCTGCTACTATTAAACAATTCCTTATCAAACTTTAGAACAATCCCGTGAAAGATTGGTGAAATAAAACTGATTTATCAGTATATACTTATAATAGTATCTTACCGTTAGCAACTTCAGCAAGCATAATGAAAATTGTCTGAAAATATTGTTAATGATTAAAACAAAATGCATAAATAACGTTTTTATTTTGACACTAATCCTCAGAACATTCTTTGAGGTATTAGCTTGAAAAATATACAACATTATTTCAACACTAGAGAGCACAAAATCTGAAATCGTGGCATCAGGAAAATCAAGATAATTCTAATCAACACGTTCTGAAGTAGCTTCACATATTGTTTCATTAAACTAGACTAAACTTAAATAACATCGCCCATTTTCCAAACTTCCTTATTTTCGATATTTTAACATAGATATAATGTTTTAGTTTAATAATCGACTTTACAAAAGTATATAGATTTAGTTCTTATGGTTAATGTTACTTATATGAATAATAATCAAATCCAAAATCTTCAACATCTGCTTGTTTTACTAATTTCTATTAAGCAGGACGTCGTCTGATGACTCTTACCTGAAACTGCATTCTAACGCTTCAGGCCATCGTTTGATCTTATGTTTACTTATTTTGCAAGAATATTATCACGTTCTCTTTAAAAAAATCTATCATTTTAAATTTTGTTTCATTAAGTTATCATATTTTTTGTTGATATAGGAAAACAAGATTTTTCGTTAC